TCCTCAAAAAAATTAAACACAAAACTGTCACATGATCCAGCAATTCCACTTCTGAGAGCAGAGATGTGGACAGATGTTCAGAGCAGCATTCTTCACACCAAAAAGTGGGAGCAATCTAAGTGTCCATCAGGGGATGGGTGAACAAACAAAATGTGGTCTATGCATACAATGAGATATTATTCAGCCTTAAAAAGGAATGAAATTCTCATACATGTTACAACATGGATGAACCCTGAAAATATGATGCTAAGTGAAATCCCTATTCAGATCTGTTGCCATTTTTAAAATGGGTTATCTTTTTATTGAGTTGTAAGAGATCTTCACATATTCTAAAGTTGAGACCCTTATCAGATACATGATTTGCAAGCAATTGGGCTGTCTTTTCACTTTACTGATGTGTCCTTGAAGCACATAAGCTTTAATTGTGATCAAGTCCAGTTTATTTATTTTCTTCTTTTGTTGCTTAGATTTTGGTCTCATATCTAAGAAACCTTGCCGAAATACAAGGTAATGAAAACTTACCCATTTCCTTCTAAGAATTTTATGGTTTTAGGTGGATGACCCATTTTGAGGTAATTTTAGTATATGGTGTGAGGTAGGGCTACACATTTACTTTTTGCATGCGGATGTCCAGTTGCCCCTGCACCACTGGTTGAATAAAAAGATGGTTCTTTCCCCATTGTTTTGGCACCCTTGTCATCTATCAATTGACCATGAATGTGTGGGTCTATTCTTGGACTTCACTTCTATTTCATTGATTTATATACATCTATACTTAACGTCAGTACCACACACTCTCTTGATTACTACAGCTTTGTAGTAAGTTTTGAAACTGAGGGGCACCTGGGTGGCTCAGTCGGTTAAGGGTCCAACTCTTGATTTCAGCTCAGGTCATGATCTCAGAATCATGAGATCAAGCCCCACGTTGGGCTCCACACTCAGCACAGAGTCTGCAGAAGACCCTCCCTCTCCCTCTACCCCTTGCCCCTTCTCTCTCTCTTAAAAAAAAAAAAAAAAAGATGGTTTTGGCTATTCTGGAGCCTTTGTATTTGCAAATGAATTTCAGGATCAGCTTGCGAATTTTTTGCAAAGAAGCCAGGCTTGATTTTGGTAGGAATTGCACCCAATTTGTAGATTAATTTGGGAGTGTTATGGTTTTAACAATATTGTCTTCTGATCCATGAATATGGGATGGCTTTCCATGTATTTGGATCTCCTTTAATTTCTTTCAATGTTTCAGTTTTCGGAGTATAACTTTTGCACTTCTTTTTACTTTATTTTTATTTAAAGGTTTTATTTATTTGAGAGAGAGCACGAACGGGGGCGGGGGGGCGGGGTGATGGGTAGAGGGAGAGAAAGAAGCAGATTCCCCACTGAGCAGGGAGTCCAATGTGGTGTTCAATCCCAGGACCCTGAGATCATACCCTAAGCTGAAGGCAGATGCTTAACCAACTGAGCCACTCAGGCACCCCCTTTTTTTTTATGATTTATTTATATATATAGAGAGAGAGCACAATTAGGGGGAGGGGCACAGGGAGAGAATCTCACAACCCTGGGATCTTGGGGCTTAATCTCACAACCCTGAGATCATGACCTGAGTCAAAATCGAGAGTCAGATGCTTAACCAACTGAGCCACCCAGGCGCCCCAAGTTTTGCACTTCTGTTAAATGTATTCCTAAGTATTTTACTCTTTTTGATGCTACTGTAAACGGAACTGTTCTAATTTTATTTTTGGATTGTTCACTACAAGTGTACAGAAATGTGGCTAATTTTTCTATATCGATCTTCTATCCTCCTTGTTCACTTCTGTGTCTCTATGCTAACACAGTAGGCGGGCACTTTTAAAAGGGCAGAAGGCTGGGAAGTGGGGCAAAACTGGAGGCCAGGCCGCCCACTGGAAGGTGTAGTCCGGGTGAGGGTAAGGGTGGCCTGGGCGGTGGCAGTGGGGAGAAAGGTGGGTGCACTGGGATGGGGTGGGGGATAGGGAAGGGTCAAGGGTAAGGCCCAGGTGTTTGGCCTGGATCACACTTACCACACTTACCAGGACTGGGGAGGAGGCGTGGCAATTTCATTTTGAAAATGTGGCTTTGAAGCGCCTTTAAAACAGCCAGGGAGGCAGCTGGCTAAGCCACCAGGGGTTCAGAAAACAGCTCCAGGCTGGAAATAACACTCTGGGACCAGTGGGGGGCGGGGAACGGAGGAGGCTGCCAGGGCGAGAGCTGGGACCCTGCTGAGGAACCCAACACCACAAGAGGCTGACTGAGGGCCACACAGCTGGAGAGAGGAGGGAGCCCGCAGGAGGTCTAACCTGGCCAGGAGGTGATGCTGGGCGGCGCAGTGGGAGCCCAGGGGGCGTCTCAAGAGGGAAAGAGTCCCTCAAGTCCCCGCAGATAGTAACGGAGCCCCAGGAGGTTGCAGGCGACTCTGGCCAGTGGAAACCAGGCTGCAGTGAGTTGGGGGAACTGGGAGGTGAAGTACACCTGAGTGGGTTGGCCTAGGAGTGGGAGTGGGGGGCTGCTGCTGGCCTAGGGAGATTTGGGTGGTTTGATTTTGAATGGGAAAGTCGAAGGAGCTATTAAACTGGAAAGGGGGGGCGGGGCTCCCAGCAGGGCCCACACTTCTCCCCACATGCACCCCCGACACCAGGCTCCCCTCGGATTTCCCGCAAACACTAGTGTGTGGAGAACTACTTTCACTCCTAAGTGACTGAGGCGCCTCGGGCTCAGTCCCTGCAGATCTGCTCTAATGAGCAGGTTCCTCATTTTATGAAGGTCAGCACTCCCCTGCAAACTGGAAGGAGCTGTGGAAGCTCCTGAGCCGTGCCTGTCACCCCAGCCCCCAAACTCCGGTCCCCAGACTGCTGAGCCAGCTTCCCTCCAGGTGGGGACCGGGCCGGCGCCCAGGGGCTCTGCGAATTCTCCGGAACGTGGCCTGACAGAAGAACCAGGTCTGCAGGAAGAAGGAAGCACTTTTCTTTTTTTTTTTAAAGATTTTATTTATTTATTTGAGAGAGAGAGAATGAGAGACAAAGAGCAGGAGAGGGGGAGGGTCAGAGGGAGAAGCAGACTCCCTGCCGAGCAGGGAGCCCGACGTGGGACTCGATCCCGGGACTCCAGGATCATGACCTGAGCCGGAGGCAGTCGCTTAACCGACTGAGCCACCCGGGCGCCCGAAGGAAGCACTTTCCTTACACGTCTCACCTGCCTCATTGTTCTGTAGCCGGAGGGCATGTGTCTGCCGGCCTGCCAGACTCCTGGGGAAGGACAGGACATCCGCAGGCAGCCACAGCAGGGAGGGGGCCCCCGTGGGCACTGGGAGGGCTTCACCAGGCTCCTGGGCCCGGGAGGCAGGGCGCAGCTCTCAGCTAGGCTCCCGACTTTGCCCGCTCTGCGCCTCATCAGAACAGGGAAGGCAGGTGAGGGATCAGACGCCCCGGCACTGGCCTTCCTGACCCGAGCCCAGGTCCTGAGCTGCTGGCCCCACGGCTTCAGGCCCAGAGGGCTGCCTTTCCGACCGGGCAGGACGAAGCCAGTGTTGATCAGAGGGAGCAGCTCACCCCCCCAGCCCCTGCTAGCACCCCTCAGTGCTCGCCACTGCCGCCCCCCACCGGCACCGGCGGGCCCGGAGCTCTGTGCGAGGGCTGCTCAGACACGGGCAGCTGCGCGACTGAGGCAAGTCTCCAGAAGGGGGCTGGCTGGCTCACATGGGTGGTTCCCAAAGTGTGATCTGGGACCGGCGGAGGCCACATCACCCGGGAGCTTGCTAGCAGTGCCACTTCTCGGGTCCCACGGGAGACTCTGGGCCCTCCAGGGGGCTGATGCTCGCTCAAGTTTGAGAAGCACCGGATCAGGGGGTCCCTAAGGCCTTTTCCACGCCTTCTCTTGGCTGCCCCTTCCTGGGATGCCCCAGCATCTCTCACCCTGAGAGTCCCTCCTGATTCCTGGGATCCCCCCATTACAAGGCCCATCCTACTCCTCACGCTTCATTCCACAGGCACCGTTGGCAATCCGAGGCCCCCAGAGAGTCAGGAACGGGAGCTGGGGGTGAACTATGGCCACCCACTGAGAAACCTAGGCCAAATAACATGGCTTCTAAGCGCCCCCTGCCCGTGAACGTCTAGGCCATGATGAATGAGAACTGAATCCTCACCAACCCAACAAGGCTGGAACCAGCAGACCTGGGGAGGGGGCACAACCTCTAGTCCCAATTTTTGTAGCTTTAAAGCCAGAGCACTGGATGCATAAACCACAAAACAGTACACCTTGTGGAAGAAGCCAGACACGAGGGACATACGGCGCGGCTGCTTCATGCGGCGCTCCAAAACAGGCAGGGCTGTGGTGTGGGAATCGGAGCAGGGGAGTGGCAGTTCCAGGGAGGGGGTGGTTCTGGCTGAGAAGGGGCACGAGACAACCTCATGGGGGTTGGAAAGGCTCCATCCCGATCATGGTGGAGGCTACAGAACTATATACGCATCTGTCCAAACTCATCCAACAGTGAATTTGACTGTATGGAGGTTACACCTCAGTTCAAAACATTCGTAGTAAAATAAGGGGCTCGGGATTGCACGACTTCTAAAAAGGCTCTGAGTCTAAAGTCTTGGACTTCTGGGATTCTGATGTGAGCTGTATGGGTGGCCTGCTTGGAAGCAGTGTCAGAGGGCAGGCAGGAGGGCGTTGCCCCGAGGCTGCACTGTCACCTCCCCTCCAGCCACAGCAGCTCGAGGTCCTGCTGAAGGCAGCCCCCCCCACCCCCGCCCATGGAGGCAGGGCATCAGGAAACGACAGGGGATTTCCAGTCTGTTCCAGAGCCAAGTCCCTGGGGCTGCAGACGACATGGCTTGCGAGGTTCGCGGAGCTTCTCTGGTAGGAGTCACTGTTGTCGGTTAGAGCAGGTGGGAGGCAGTTAACTAATTTAATGAACAAGAATCACAAAGGCAAAAATGAGGAGAGGGAGGAGGAGAGCAACCAGGAGTCAGTGCCTCCCTACAGGATTACAAACATACATTTCCGTCAGAGAATCTTTATTTTACATGTTTGCATCACAGCAAGAGAATCCATCCCATACGTCACCCTGATCGGAACCCCCACCCACGACACGTTTACATAAATACTCTTCAGTGATCATTGGTGTTAAAAAAAATATACTGAAACTCCTGCATCCCAATCTAACCTAGAAAGCAAATGATATTTACAGACATTTTCTCCCGCAAACGAAACTTATTTTTTTGGATTAGATGTGTCTGACTTCTTTTGAGGTCACATGACCAGGCAAATCCAATTTATGGTCGGGAAAAGCTGCTTAAGGCGCCAAGAACCGCCCCCTTGTGTGGCCAGGATTTGGGGATCCTTTTGTAATAAGGATCTTAAATGCTAGAAGGCTGCCCTGCTGGCCCCCCTGTGTGATTTGGCTGTCGACTACAAAACCTGCCCTAGAATAAGCTGTCTTGGAAGTGAGTGAGCTTTTCTGTCTCACTTCAACCCTTACTGACTTTGTCCAGAACTCCTCCTTCCCAAACGGCCTGCCTGCAGACTTCCTGACCCCAGAATTCCAACAGTCCCTGGGCAACACGACCAGATCCTTGCTCCCACACCGCCTAGTCCCTCTCTCGGCCGGGCTGCCTCCCTCACACAGTAGCTCGGGCGATGTGCATGTCCCATGTCCTCACAGAGAGCCACCGAGAAACATCTGTCAAGCGTAAACCATCCAGAGGGGTCACAGGCTACAGAGCAGCCCCCGGGGAAACCTGGAACGTTCCGTCCACCGATCGATAACCATACTCCAGGTGGGACAAGTATTAGCATCAACTCAGGTGGGTCTCTTTTAAAGACTTCCTGCCCCAAACACCCTGGAGAAACCTGGAGTCAAGAGCAATCCTTTGGAACACACGGTATGTTCCAGATGAATACCTTCTTGACATACCAAGAAGTACCAAGTCAAAGCCTAAATTCTTTAGTGGGGAAGCTACTCATTTACTGAATCCTGAACGGGAGAAACAGGTAGCAGGCCATGGGCATCGGGGACTCAGCACATTCTTAATCTGTTAAAAGGCCGCGGGTAAGTCTGAGGAAAGCAAAGGGGTGAGTATGGAGTGTGGAAATGGGCTGGGATCTGCGTCCCTTGAAATCCAGCAGCTTATCAGCACGAACGGTCCCACTGTTCCATGGGGTGTATGGAGCAGCGCCAACCACTTCATCAGACCATCTAATGTTCTAAGAGCCTTCCTCGGAGAAGATGCTTCAGGATGTGGGAGATGGCCACAACGCCACTCACAATTCAAACAGGCATCTTCTAACACTCTTCTTAGTTCCTAAGGACTGGCTCCTGGTAATAGACTCTTAAGTACTAAACAAGAATACATTTTACTGCAAAGGTCCAAAGCATAATGTGCAGCATTAACATGTACGCTCTTGATAAAATTCTCCTTGGCTTAGAAAGTACATGTGTCACACGGCTACAATGCTGCAATGCACCAAAGCCTCCAGCCCATGCTCCCAGACTGAGCCTTTGTGCGATCAATAGCTGTGGGCTGAGGAGGAGCGGGGGAGGAGGAAGAGGAGGGCGGAGGAGGACGGGGCGGCGGAGGGGGAAGGAGGGGGAGAAGAAGGGGGGCAGGTCGTGGAACAAGAGAGAGCAGATATCCCGATGAGATCATAATGCAGGAGCAGAAAGCTCACCACGACAGGCACGCAGAGCACGATGAGACAGCGCTGTGTGGCTGCGCAGATATGTCCAGGGGAGACCAAACCTGGAAATTGTACTCCAAAGTGGTTTCTTGGAAGAAAACTGAACTGACTCAGGCAATGATCTGGGAAACCAACTTTCACACTCGAGTAAGCACCTCCTGACGGGAGAGTGGGCCACCAATCCACCAGAGTTGTAGTCAGCAGGTTCAAATGCACTGCTACTGAAATTTTAAAGCATCAAGGAACCAAGAAATAGGCTGATGGAGTCTTTGGCTAGAGTTAAAAGCCAGGATTAAGAGATCGATGATTGTTCCTGTTGTCTTAGTAATTTTCTAGCAAAATACACAAACTTTATTACAGGAATAGTACAGATCCTTTATTTCCTAAAGTCCCACAGCCGGCTGCCCTTGCAGTCCAGAGCAGATTTCCCAAAGGAAGCACGGGGACTATGCGGGGGCAGAAACAGGGAGCAGGAACACAAAGCAAAGCTATAAATCCTGCCATCTCTCTAGGATGCGCAGCCGATCCCCGAAATACTGACGGGCTTAGCAGCGGAAACACTGCCTCACGACGCCCCCACGTGGTGGTGAAGACCGGGCTGCTGGAAGGACTGGTGGGACTATCTGGCTTTGGACCCCAGTGGTCATCTTTATCGGGAGGAGAGCTGAGTGCTAGTCCCAGCTCCCAGATGATGGACAAAGGGAAGGCATTTTTACAGAACAGGATGGAGAGCTCTAACAATTTGTACAAACGTGGGAAAACCAGTTTTCCCAATCTGGGGCTGGGGTTTTGATTTTTCTTGATCACTGGGCCTCACTTCAAACCTTCTGCCACTTACAATACAGGACTTGGGCAGACGACCTGCTTGTTAGTCTTTATTCCTAAATCACGACCTTATCTGGCCTGCACCTTCCCGTTCAGAAGGGTCGGGACTGTCTCAGCCACCATGTGCCTGAGTCCTGAGGCACACGTGTGGCATCGGGGGCCCGGCGCTCTGGCTCAACGGCCTCACCAGGCTGCTGAGGCTCGGGGCTCTGCCAGAGGAAGGCAGAGGCTCGGGGAGGGCAGTCAGGTTGGAGCTGCCCCCACACGTTCTCTTCCTCCCCAGCTCCTTCACTCCCTGGCTTCCGGCAAGTGAATCAAGGACACCTCCGCAGGGACCCTTTTGGGGGGGGGAGCGGAGAGGTTTCATCACACCCTGGGTCTTGCCAAGAAGTCTTATGGCCTAGTCAAGAACATCTGCTCGCAGGACAAACAGCAAATGCGTCCCTCTGAGGGAAGCACCTAGGGGGGTTTGACCACAGCACGAGACACGTTTCAGAAGTACTGGGACTGTGTTTACGCCAGGAAAACAAAAAGTCTTAATATTCTCGTCCTCCCTGCAACTTCCTTCTCCTATTGTGTAGCCCCCATTTAAGAAAAAAGAAAGACAAGAAAGGAAGAATGACAGAAAAAGAAAAGGTCCCTTAAAGAAATACTCAGGGCGAATTTCCTTGCTCCTGAAAGTGGGGAGACACACGGCCTCTTCCCCCAACTCTGTGGTGAGGCGAGCAGCAGCCTCAGAAGACAGAAGACGCCGGCTCACACCCCACGCCTAGCCAGGACCGAGCCTCTGTGCAGGAAGGGCCGCAGACAGCACCGAGGACTCAAGAAAGTGCGTGAAGAGAAGGCTTTTCCGCTCCCTTCGTCCGGGAGAGAGAACAGCACAGGAGAGGGACAACTGAGGACAGACTCTTCAGGTGCCCAAACCTGGGGTGCTGAGCACCGCCCCCGAATCCTGCAGTTCCTGAAGGACGCTTCTAAGCCGAGGGGGGTGTGGGGGGGGGAGAAAACCACCTCCGGAGACAGCTGCCCGCCCCCCTCCCCAGACCCAGGCAGGTGTGGGCTCCCGGCACCGCCAGCAAGCGTTCCCGAAGAGCCCACAGTTCAGCCTCCGGTCTCAGGCCCCGGCTGCCATAAGCCTGGTGGGGAGATTTCTGCCCACCTCCTCGCCTGGGCCACAGTGGACCTTCTGAGCGTCCCATCATCCAAATGACTGAGCTACCAGCTGCACCACTTGAGGCGACTACCCGTGCCCATCTCCAGGCTCCGGAAGTTTGGAAGGGCCCTCTGCTGAGTCTCTGAGAAAGAGCTCGCCATCCCCAGTCCCTGAGAGTAAAGCTCTGTTCAACCACACCTGTTCTAATCTTAGCATGCATGCCCCTGGGAGACAGGGACGAGGTGTTTCATTCCTGCCAGAAAGCCTACCTGGTTTATACAAAAAACTTTCTAATGATGACGATCTGCTTGTACTTAAATATCTGCTTAAACGCTACCTTTTCTGCCCCCAGCTGCTCCTTTAAGAGACATTCCTTCCCGTTTCTCCCTGTTACTGTGATTACACAAAACAAACACAGCCACAACGAGAGAAGGAAAAGAGGTGGTCCTGCTCTGGGCAGTCAGAGGAGCCAGATGTTCAAGGAAATCCTACTGGACAACACTTTCTGAGCTTAACCATACATTTCTATCCATCCATCAGACAACACCAAATATGCTTCAATCAAGAAAAGCACTTTCCACTACGGTTCCAGAGCCATTGACTCTGACAGGGCCATTCAGCCTCCAGATGACAGAGCCCTTTTGGGAAGAAGACGGCCGGGCCTCTAGAGCTGCTGGTTCCTGGTCACTTTCAGAATCCGGGGTCAAGGTCTGGGGCAACATTCAGGGCCAGGAACCCTGCGGCAGGCTCCATATACTAAACTGGATTTTGACACTGCTTTCTAAAATAACCTAATTTCATCCATTTTTGTCCCCCAAAGACACCACGATAAGTTTCCTTTCCCTTCTAAGTCCCTGTATCCTCCCTCAGCCCCTGCTCGTTTCCTGCGGCCCCATTCCCGAGCCGTGACTGGCCCCAGCCTCGCGCCGCCGCCCTCCCTCCCTGTCCACCGACACTCCCCACCCTGCTGCCACGCACTTGGGGGCACAACTGCTTATGTCTTGAGAGTTCCCAATTAAAAAAAAGAAAGAAATATAACTTACAAACAATGTCTTCCTTTTATCCTCCTGTCTACACTCCCTCCCCACCATTCCCACCTGAAGGAGAATTCTAGCTGCCCATAACCAGCCACAGATCCAGTTTCCATAAGAGAGTAAAAAATTAGGTTTCCGTGGCACTTTGTTCCCAGCCGCGCGCTCTGCGGTGTCACTGTTGGGAGGCGCTAATTGCCCCTGCTCACCACTAGGACGATTAATAAGTTAGAGGTTCTCTTCGACAGTCCCAGCTCAAGGCTGCTCCATCACGCGGTGCCTTCCCAATCGCCCTGGGGCTCCACCGAGCCGTTGGTCACCTTCTTGACTTTCTTCATGTTCTCCATCACCCCTGATGTCGTCACTCTGAATGAGGGGGGAGAACAAATAAACCAGTGGGAAAATCTCAGTCTTTAAGTAAAAGGCCATCTCACCACGGGCACAGCAGAGTGGCTACGTGTGTGGGCTCTGGAATCAGACAGACCTGGGTTCCAGTCGCGAACCCGCTCCTTGCTAGCTGTGTCACCTCCGCCGAGTCATCTGACCTCCCTGTCCTAAGTGTAATAAATGGTTCCCGCTTCCCAGAACTGTCATCAGGGGAAAATGAGATTCTCCAAAGCACCTAATCAATACATACCAGCTGTTATTATTACAATCAACACTGAGCCGTTCCCCTCTTTCTGTCATGGTCTCCACAGATTCTTATGTTGCGCGTCTACGTGATTATGATTACAAGACCACCATCTGTGTCCTAACTAACCTTCTGAAAAGAAAGCTCATCAGGTGTAGTCGTTCTTCATAACCAGCCACAATGGATCATTTCTGAGTCATGGGACAGAACCACAGGTTCTGAGGAAGCTTCTGGCCCAAAGATTCCTTGACCATCAGAAACAGAGAACGGCTGCCCTTGACGAGCCCGGGGCCTGGTCTCTGCACGGCTGTCAAGGAGCCCGTGGTCCCGCCTCTGCGCTGCAGCCTGGGACAGGGGCCTTGTCCCTGTTGGTGCCCGGTCCTGAGGGGTGCCACGGAGCCCTACATTGAAAGCGTAGATCAAAAGGGAAGGACCCCGGCTTCAGAGAACGTGTGGAGCTGAGCAGAGCGGCCCTTTCCAGACAGTGAGTCACAACATCTCTCGAGAAGGTGGGGTCTATGAGAACACAACCTCTTGCCCCACTAAATGTGAGCTGGACAAGATCTACAAAGGATCCGGGTTGCTTCGCAGCGGAAGACACCAGGCAGAGAGACTGAGCTCCGCCTGGCAGGCAGGGCTCAGAGGAGTCGCAGGGCAGTGAAACGACTGTGGGTGGGTCTGTACTGCAGACACATGTCATGACACATTCGTCCAAACCCACAGAATGCACACCACCAAGAGCGAACCCGGAGGTAAATTACAGACTCGGGGTGATAATGACGTGTCAGTGTAGGTTCAGCGACTGTAACAAATGTACCTACCGCTCTGGAGGGGGATGCTGGTAACGCAGGAGGCTATGTAGGTGGGGGCAAGGGGCACATGGGAAATCTCTGTTCTTTCTGTTCAATTTGCTGTGAACCTAAAACTGTTCTAAAAAATAGAATTAAAAACAAGTAAACAAACACACCTACCAGCATCTCCCTAAGTACTCTAGAAAAAGAGGCACCTATGTGCCCCATCATGGACCTACAGGCATCTCCTGAGCAGTAAAATAAATTCAGTCAACTCTGTAGATCTCTCCGAGGACCCTCCCTATCCCCCCATCAGCTACCAAGTCCTTTCACCTACAAATGGTAATTCAGTGGCCCTATACGGGACACACCTAGAGTCTGTCCAGCTGGACCTAAAGGCAAATAAATGATTTTATGGGGTAAGGAAAGAATTTCCCCCTTTATTTCTCCTTTTATTCCTGCCACCATGTTGCTGCTGTGACCAGGCCTCAAAGCCAGCCAGTCCTCCCCAGAGTTGGGACTTTTCTCAGACAAGAGTCCTTCAGACTCTTGGGCTGGCTGTACTTCTGGCAAAGTCAGGACAAGGTGGGCTGACAAGATGTGGCTCTTAGGGGAACTGGGGGGTTCCCGCAGATGCTGTGAGTATAAACATGGTCCCCGGACAAAGGAAACCGCTTCACTTTGCCATGGGACCCAGCATCACTTCCTGTCCACTGGGGCGGCCAGGGCCTGAGCCCTCCAGGAAGGGTGCACCTCTCCCAGGCGACAGGCACGCCCACAGGTCTTGTCCTCGCGGGACTATCTCCGGACTGGGATACGCAGGTGGAGCAGCCGTAGGCCCAAGAGAACCGGAAGCCTTTCTTGCTCCAGCACAGCTTCTCCAAATGCATGAGATCAGAGAAGAAATGCACCCTCAAGTCTCACAGAGTCGCTCACAGCAACAGCAGCTGCTGTGTGGAAGCCCTTGCTGGAAAGGACAAGGGCTTCCACACAGCTGGGCTGTGAGCACAGCCGGTTCATCGGACCCGAGCGGGGCTCGGGCTATTGCTTGGGAGACACACCTGCCGTGTGTCTCTCCCCAGCCAAACACTGCTCTCCAGCTGGCAGACCAACTGAGAAAACGAGGCTCGCTCTGTCATGCCAGCCTGGGGCTGGGACAGAGAGGGACAGGAATCAGGGCTCTTTGGACGCCCCAGCCCAGCAGAAAATGGTCTTCCAGAACGACACACGACAGACAGGAGAGCTCTGAGCAGGGGGGACCAGGGCTCGGGGTGGGGAGAAACACCTCTGCCTGGGATGGGGGGCAGCTTCGAAGCCTGTACCAAAAGAGGAGGAGCAGAGTCAAGATGGAGGGGCGGGAGGAGGGCAAGGGAGTTTCTGAACAAAAGAAATGTAACGGGCAAAGGGCATGGAAGAAACAAAAGAAAGCTCCCTGCACGGTCAGAGAGTGAGAAGCAGCTGTTGGCTAAGGTAAGTGGCAGGAAGGTCAAGGGCGGGCAGGGCAGGGCCGTGGAGGGCCTTATCTGCCTTGGCACAGCAGCTGGACTTGATTCTTACACCAGGGTTCTCAGTCCTGGCTCAAGCAGGATGCCCTGGGGAGTTAAAAAAGGACAGAGGTACCTGAGCCTCGACGTTCAGAATCAAGTGTCCAGGGGAGGGGCCAGGGACTCTCCTTGGAAAACACTCTACAAGTGATTCTGGTAGCCAGGAGAATGGGCAGGGAGGGAGGAAGACCGGGGGCGAGGACATCAGCCGTAGGAAGGCAGGGCACTGGGGTAAAGGGGGAGAGGGAGAGGAGACACGACATTAGGTTCCCAAGAAGTGGCCGCTCACTCCACGTGGGCTGAGAAGAGGGAGGTGTTTAGGCCAACCACCACATGCTGCTGATGGCGAGCGGGCGGACAGCGGTGCCATCAAGGCCCGTAGGGAATGCAGGGGACGCAAGCTTGGGTACCGGTGGGCAGGTGGCTAGAGGGACCCGAAGCTCAGAAGAAGCAAGTGGCTGGAGCAGGGGGCTGGGGGGAGAGGGGGGCTGTCAATGAGGAGACGGCAGCCTGTCCAGGGCAGACGCTGTCCCACCTCCAGTGCCTGCTCAGGGGAGCACTTGAGGGCCAGCAGCCCCTGAGCAGCTCTCAGGTGACGGCAGCAGTCCCCAGCCAAGTGGCTGTGCTCCCTGGGGGCTCAGGAGAGAGTGTGCAGGACAGAGACAGAAGGAGCAGGGAAGTGTAACAGAGCTGGAGGGAGCAGATGGACCCAGCGCTGCCTCCCACTTCCCTTCTCCATCTAAAAGGTGACCCCTCCTTTCCTTGCAGAACCCCGACGAGCTGTGCTTGCAACCAAACGGGCCTACTGAACACAGGCACGATAAGAAGGGGAGCTTCGGGCACCCACCGCTCTTCCTGCTGCACCACGCTGTGATCTTGGGCCTAAGCGGCCCCTGGACACCTCTGTTTCTGTAACCAAACCAAACCGTAAAGTACAATCCAATTGTAAAGTGTTTTCTGGACTTGAGATCTGGAGAGGCCTGGCTGAGAAATAATTCTATTAGTCTCTAATCCCCGTCTCCACTTCTGTTGCCCATCCACTTGAGCGAAGGCAGTTTAGTAGAAAAAGGTTCCCGGCATCCCTGAGGCCAGCATTCTGGATTGGGAACCCCAGAGAGGCAACTTCCCGGCCCTGGAACCCACACCAAATATTTCTTCCCTTTCTGACATCTCAAAACAGCAGAAAAAAAGAGTTCAGGTCGTCAAGGATATGCATGGCACAGGAGGCGGCCACCAAGTCTGATCACTGAAACTGCATCCAATACTTTTTAACTTGCTGAATTTTTTGATAAATTCTCTTAACCAAATTGGTAAGCCTTTGCAAGCTTTAGCCCAAAGAGAGTTGTATACAGAAATAAAAGAAGAAAAAGACAGACAGTCAGGTACTTCTGACTGCACCCTCACTCTGTAGGCTCCGCGGGAGAACCCAGGTGGGGCCTGGGGGGGGGGGTGGCCGGCGTGCAGGCCTGGGCCAGAGGAAGAGTGGGAGCACTCTACCCCCAGGAGGAGCCCGGCCTGTCCTGGGCTCAACTGGCAAGACTTGCCTCCCAAATGCACTGCACTTCAGAGAAAGGAAGTGAAAATAGGTAGAAGAGAAACTACCCAGAATCTCAGTCAATAAGGTGAGTGGCCCAGTTCAGTGTTCGTGGGCCACTGATGGGTAAGACTCATTAGGAAGAGGATTTGTTTTGGGGTGTGTGAAGCCTAAGGAATATTCCTTCCCACAAAGAGGAAGTAATATTTGTTCTGTGGTGAGGATCAGATCAAGCTCCTTTCTACAGGAAACACCCTTCAATGTGGATGACAGAGAGCTCATGACCTTCTAGAAAACACAAACAATGGCTCTGCTTGCCTCTGGCTTGAGTTATTTCTAGAAGATTTAAGAGGTGCCATCCAGGAACAGCACCTCCATGCAGAGAAGGAGGGGACAGCCTTGGGCGCAGTGGCATCCCCGAGAAGCTGCCATCAGCCCTCACGCTCACCTGCAGGTGAACACGGATGGCAGGCTGAGGGCTGGAGCTTCCACCTTGGCCTGTTCTGCTCGGACACATCTTATTAATCCATAGGACTTCCTCAACAGCAGAACTTTCTCTCAGCCAGAGAGAAGCCCCAAACAATTTCCCTGCTGACTTAAAGGCCCTTGGCCTCAGTCGGCAACCCAACTTCTTTTTCACAGGCTAAGCGGGACCAGCGCTCCTTGGAAACAGCACCACCCTAAACAAAGCCTTCACCTGCGATTTGACTGTCTCGCTGGGGCATACTCAGCTTTTCTGCCACTGAGGAGCAGCTCCCTCACTATCACAGGATGGCGCACACTGAGTCACAGAAAACACGGTGTCATCACAGCTCCTCCCTTGTAACAGGAGCGTAAGCGGAGACAACCAATGGCTAACCCTCACCCCTCCGATCTCTCCCCCAGGCTGCCAGAATGAAGGACACACTCCCTCCAGTCTCCACGTGACTTGTGGTCTGTCCGTCCACTTCCCCCACTTCCCTGCCTTGAGCTGAGCACACGCAGACCCTCCTGCTAAAATACTTACCACATATTACCAGCGAGAAACGAAAAACCAAAACAAAAATTTTTTTAAATTTTGCCATGAGACAAAAATACCTTCACAGCGCCTCCGTGCTTCTGATAAACGGCTGATGGAAAGGATGTGGAGACTCCTATATTGCTGGTGAGAACTTCGAATGACCCAGGCAGCCAGCTTCCAGCTGCGCACCCCAGACAAGCCCTGCTGTGGGGGGATGGGTAAGCACACCTCTCCCCACTGACTCTCATTTCAGACCCTTCAACCAAGTTACTGGCTCAGATTCTGCTCCTTCTAGAAAAGGCACACCTGACGGCCCTACTCCTTCCCCTCTGCTATCTGTAAAAAGGTATTTCTTGTTTGGGGGCCATCGGTGGGAGCTGCCTTCCATTTATTGTTCCAAAGAGCTGTCCTATGCTGTCCAACAGCCCAGCAGGGCCCAGGAGGCTCAGCCTTTGAATCAGGACAAGTCAAAAAGCCACCCGCCTCGCTGGAGGCAGCACACCTCAAACTGAGCCTTAGGCTAATCATCAAACACAACCACTGACCTGGCCCATCACAGTTCATCAGTAAACAAGCCAATACTCTCAGTCACTATTCCTTTTCTAGATAATGAGTGCCCTTTCCCAGAAAACAGGACCCGAAAGTCACTTGCCCTGTGACTCAGAAAAGCCCGCTTGAATGCTCGCATAGAGGTCAAGTCACTGCGCTAGCTGTGAAAAGCCATTTCGTTACCTGGTGACAGAGGAGTCTGCGGACAATTAGCAGACCCACAGACGACTCAGACGATCACATTTTCAGACACCAGCTCCTGGTGGCAGGGGCCGAACAGGAAGTGGGGCTGCCCATCCCCAGTAGTGCTGAACGGGCCAAGCCAATGCCCAAGTTCCCACCACTGGCTTATTGGAAGCAGGCTCCAACGATGCTCAGTGATGCTTAATCGGATGGCCAGTTCCATTCCCCTGCAAAGACTGAGCGGTGCCTGGCAGATACTGTCCTTCAAACTGAGTAAGACAGCCTGAAGCTTAAGTGTCCATTTCCTTCTACTAAATATAGACGTACTACCTCTGGAACAACAAAATGCAGAGAGAAGCTGCTCCGATTCACACCGTGCTGCTCAGTTGGGGCCAGGGGCAAAGGAAGAGGGGCAAGAAAGGAGATTTCTTACACTGATTCCATTTCCAGGTCATCCTCCTGAGAAAGTTGTAGGTAGGGGTTATCTGAAGCCGGACGGAATTTACAGCCCGTTAGAACAAAGAATACCAGCGTGGCCATTTCATCCAGGAGCTGCAAATTAAAACCCACCCCAAATAAAGGGATTAGCAATGCTGTTCTTCAGAAAGCAGTGAACTAAACAAACTGGCACAGCTCCCCCCATCACTGACCACTCTCTCAGGCCAGGGCGGTGCTAGGGCAGGGTCTCCTCACGAGGTGTGCCAGAGCCTCAGCCAGGAGCATTCTGCCCGCAGATGACAGCTAAGACCCCGTGCTTTAACCAGTCTTCACTGGAATCTTTTAAGAGCTCCTTTTACCCCCAAGTTTCCCACAGTGCCCTTAGCACCAAGCAGGTGCCTCAAGGAAGCCTCCTCTCGCCGTCCCCTACACGCAGAACTGATACAAGCGCTGGGTGCCAACTACACATTTGGGTGAGAACGAGAAAGAGAAAAGGCTCTAAATCATCTGCTGGCTTCCCCGAGGAGTTAACTAGCCCTAGTATATGGCACAGACACCATATTGTTGAAATACTCATGTGCTCTGGATTCTGAGCTTTTCTAAGCCCTGTAACTGAAGGAGAGACCACGTCTCATTGCATTTTAATTATCCAGGGCGAAGCTCACACTCCATGCCTGAGGCTTTTCTCTTCAAAGTCTTGTAAAATTGAAAACTAAAATCAATAATGCAATTACTTCCAGATTTTTCATGTAATCCAGCAGCTTTCTTGGACAAACAGATCATCTTAACTGTGGACCAGAAGCAACAGAAGTGGCCGCTTGCCTGACCCCTCTGGAGCAACCTTACGTTATAACCCGAGACTTGTCCTCAGCCAGAGACTCCCCCCACCCCCCCAGCAGCGCACCTGGTAGAGCCACTTCCACTGGAACGGAACGGCAAGTTTGAGGAGAAACGCAATGATCCTGGTGAAGTATATGTAACACACGATCTACCGGGGAGGAGGAGAAGAGGAATAGGGAGAGGAGGAA